AAACTTCCCTGATGGGCTAGGGCTTAATGTGTTTAAAAAAAAAAAAAAAAAACCTAGGTTTCCTAATCTAGGTGGGATCTGGGATTTTTATTAGACTATGATTAGTACAGCAGGGAAAAACCTGGAAAGAGTCCTTAAAAAACCCTATTGGGATAACCTCAACTCAAGCCATTTTCTCTTTACCCAGAGATGATTGCTATGAATCTTGGTCTGCAAAGGACATGGCTTGATTTAATACAGTTTACCCTAGAGGCAGAACAGCAAAGAAAGAATTCTACTAATTTTATCATAGTCTCCGGGTGCTTCTCCCTGATAATCTAAAGGGAGGTTTGGCCCAGAGCAGCCTGCTTATGGCCCCATTTACATTTAAAGGTCTCTTCCTACTTGATTCTCTGACTATTGGAGGCATGGATAGATTTGTTATCTGGTGGCTAGTTATATCAGAGGCTTTGGTTCTTTACTCATAGCTGTTAGTTGAATTGCACTGCAAAAAAAAAAAAAAAATGAAAACATTGTTCCAGAAATTTTGTGGAGCCTTCTTTGGAGCAAGTTTCATACACTGTTCTTGAGAATAACTTGTATTTTGTTTTATCACTACCAGTCTTATCAGAATTGCCTAGCTAATTTTTCTGATCAAGGTATACAACTTGTGCCAGCACAGGACACCTGCTTTTGAAATTACAGTTAAAGGTCTGGGCAAAACTAAGTGAAAAAAAAGAGGGCCCCTATCCTTTCCTGTAGTTTAGAACATGGACTACCCTCATACCTGTTCTCTCCGTGGTGTCACTTCTCACTCATTATTCAAAAGTGAAAGATAAGAGAAAAAAGTAATTTATGATAAAATATTACTCATTAAAAAAGAAATATAAAAATTAAACAGACAGCTATAGCAAAAATACAATCTAAGCAAACTGGGAAAATCACCAGAAAGGGCTCTCCAAGACATTTTGTCTAAATGTTAAATAACTAAAAACATTAAAATATGTGTGGCATGGCAGTCTGAGGTCTGACTCAGAGCTAGCTTCTTAGTAAAAGAAATGGGAAGTGACGATTAAGGCCCCTATAAAATAACCCAGGTTGGAAAATGTGGAGGTTAGAGATACTCAGCTTATAGCTCCACAAGAAACATTCACATTATTTACTCCTGTCTATGGCCCTAAGAGACAAAGACTTGAAGATCTTTCCAGGGGAAGTCTTCCTCCCTATCTGGCTCAAACCCTAAGAGTCAGAACCATTAATCACCTAGATTCCAGTCAGAGGACCTTTGTAAATTCCACATCTCAAGTACTTAGACTCATTACATATACTATAAAATCTTAACTGAAAATATTTTCGTTAAGAGATTTTAATTTTTTATTGAAATCTAGAGGGAGAAGAATAAAAAGGCAAAACTATAACAATTGGATTAAAAGATCATTTAAAATGATCTGTTTGGATATGGTTGCAAACAACTCACAAGTTTTAGGTCTCCAATTAGCTTAATTAACTTAGTATTTACCCTCTGCCTACTTCCAAAAAGAATCCAAGTTTGTTTCCAAAGAATCAGTTTGGCTTTTATATCTAGGCTGTTGAAGTATGTATGATTTATCATTTAGTACATTATGTTTTGATGTATATTTTATGACAACATACCTTTTCCCCTAATCTTTGGGATTGTGTTGTGCATTAAGAGAAGGCAAAGTTAGGCTGCCACAGTTTGTATGTAATCACGTTATATTATACTTACAAACATGAGGCAAGACATTAACATTTTGAACAATAGGCAGAAGAATATAAAAGCTAGTTTATTTGGAAAGAAAAGTGCAGGAAAGATTTAGCTGAGTCATTTGGAGTTAAGAATAAAAGGGAGAAGGCAATGATGATTTAATCCTTTTTCTTCTCCCTCTATTAAGGATATTTGAGTGAACAGCCAGTTATGCTCTGAACTAATTAAATGAAATAATTAAGTCTATTACATTGTCAAAATCAAAGGCAAATTTTTTATTTTTTGTATGTTTTGTAGGGGAAACCTCAAAGAGGAGAACTTAAGTCAAATACTTAAGGCCTTGGTGAACTCTGTAAGATAGTATAAGTCCACACCAACATTTTGGCTCAGTCATTCTTAGTTCTTAGAATTGTTTTAGTTATCTCAGGTGATTAGACTAAATAAATTCCTTACTGTAACATAAATAGGGGAATATGTACAATTTAGTTCTGATGTAGGGTCTTCCTTAAAATCCTCTCTCCTTGGGATCTTTTTCCTTCATCATTTTTGGAACCAACCTTTTCATGAAATGTGTATGTTTTTAATTTTACTGTAGCCTGATCTTTGGCATTTATTTGGATTGATATTTTATTCATTATGCAAACAATATCTCACTCTAAACCTGCTTGCAATATATAGTCTGGTTGTCTGTCATGCAAGCCCAGTCAGACTATGCAGTTTGGTGTTTCAGCCAAATTTGGTCACTTCCTACATTCTCACAGTTGCTGGTCAAACACTTATGGTAACTGTCAGACTCCTTTGTAGTTAACTTTCTGATGAGACATATTGAGTTAAGCTTCAACGGACCTTCCCCTTCCAAAGTAGTTAATTTTACGATACAGATATAAATCTTATTACTATTCTTCAAAGCTCATACTCTGAAATCACCTTAACTTGGTATTACAATCATGCATCATGACCTCAAATTACTTACCCTCTTTAAGCCTTATTTGTTAGTTTTTTCAACATTTATTGAACAATGTGTAATAGGCTCTGGGAATAGGAAGTGAATGTGATAGCCAAGGTTTTCTCATCTGTAAAATGTGGCTAATGACAGAGCTGTTTTGAGGATAAAATGTATGTAACATACTTAGCACATTGCTCAATAAATGTTATTAGCAGTATTATTTTGATAAAGTTACTTTTAACATCTCCCTGAGTGTAACCTCTAATGATTCACAATGGATTTGCATTCACTCCATTTCTGAACATAAAGCTACTCTATAAATTACTGATGCTAAAAATTTTCTAGAAAAAAAACTGATGCAATGTTCTGAAACTCCATTGTAATGTAAGCACTCCAAAATGCCTTTCACACCTGATTATCTAAAAAAAAAAAAAAAACCTGTAAATAACAACCATGATCTGGATTGTGAATGAAAGGTGCTATACCGGTACCCTCTGAACCTAGTCTTGTCTAAATAATCTAAATTTCTTCCCGTGTACTTTTAAGTTTGGATTAGAAAAATAAACAAGCGTATGCATGGCCCATCTTAAGTTTTACTTGGTTTGTATCACTAGCCTGAAAACATCAAAATATTTTAACTACTGTGGTTTTAGTTCTTTTTAGGTGTGGTGGGGGATGGATGTCAACTTAAGTCAGTTGAGAAAAGTGGCAGTTCTGCAGCTCATGCAATAGAACTAGAGAAAATGGGTCACTGCAGGAACGGGCAAAACCAAATGACATTATTGAAATGGTTACAGAAATAAAAAGTTTCTCTTTTACTCAACGGGGCTATTGAAGAATGACAAAGAGAAAACATCTTTAATGGTGGTAGAGAGTTTGCATCTATACTTTCTAGGATTATTTGTCATTTAAAGTCAAGCCTCATTAGGCAAACTGTCTTTTACTAAGGGTTGCATAGTAGCCTTTGTAAGATTTCTGAAGAACCTGAGTTTTGAAGGATCATGTTTACAATTTATCACTTATTTTAAATCCCAGTGTTACCCCTTAGTTCTTATATAAGATTATCTGAAAACAAAAGGACATCCCCTAAAATAGGTACTGGACACTCTCGGCTTCGAAGGACACTCTCGGCTTCTTTGGCCATTGTTGGCCAAAAACCCGACAATGAGCCCTTCAAAAGGCACGTGGGGCTGAACCTGTCTCAGTATCACCACGACCAGCCCTTACAGGTTCCAGGCTCCACGCCTGACTTCCCAGGCCCGGGGCACCACCAGGGGCGGTCCGACAGCACGGGCCCTCCTGCCTCGTCATCGCTGCGTTTCTGGCTGGCGGAGCCGGTTCCCGTCCGCGGCATTCCACGCCCCCGTCTCCGCAGGCGTGCACGGGGCTCGGGAATCACCTCGGAAGCCCACTCAGCCGCAGGGAGGGCGTGAGCGAGGAAAGCCCGGGCTCTCGCTGTAACCCCCGCGCTCGGCGGTGTCCCCCTCCCCTTGACGGCGGGGCCATAGGTACCTCCTCAGCCGCCTGAGCATTCAGCGTTCAACTGGTGGGCGGCCCGTCCCGCAGCCGCCACGTCCGCTCAGAGGCCCCTCCGAGCCGCCGGCAACCGACTGACCCCGGGGCAGGGACTCGCGCCGACACCGCTGCGCACGCGCTCCTAGCGCGCCTCTATCCCGGGGCGGCTCGCCGGGCGGGAACGCAATCTGTGAGCCACTCGCACCTGCCTAACTGACAGGCAGACCCCGGGCTCGGGCCTCGTGCCGGAGCGCGCACGCGCCTCGCGCGCCTGCCGTCGGCCCCGGGGGCGGGACCGCGCGGCGGCGAGCGGGCGGGGGGCTTGTGGCGCGCGCGCCCCGCACCCGAGGGCTGCGGAGAGATATTTTGGGTGGCAGGAGGCCCCTCGTCATTTCCGCCGGGCAGCTTGTGGTGCCCCGAGCTTCACTCCCGCGCGCGAGGCGAGCGGGCAAGTTGGTTGCGGGCTTGCGGCGGCGGCTTCTTTTCTCAGCCCCTCGACCCTCGGCAGTGCAAGCCGTGAACTGAAGCCCTGGAGGGACGGAGACCGGAACGGAGCGGCGGAGCAACAGCAGCAGCCTCTGCGGGGAGCGACCAGAGAGTCCGCACAGAGCCGCGACCCCAGAGCGTTTCTCTCCCCGTTGCCGCTCCCGCCGCTGCTGTTCGCCGTTTGCTAAGAGACATTGCAGCCGCGAGACCCGACACACAAAAGCCGTCTTCTCGCCACCCGCCCAGCGAGGCAGCGGCCAGCAAGGGACCCCACCTGAGGGCGGCTCGGGCTACCGAGTTCGTTTTGTTTCTGATCTCCGGGCCCCGCGCGGTAGCGACCCCGTGTCCATGGCTCTGATCATGGAACCCGTGAGCAAATGGTCTCCGAGTCAAGTAGTGGACTGGATGAAAGGTAATGCCCGCTGTGCGGAGGGCGAGGCGGTCCTGGGGCGCCGGGGTACTGGCGCGCGAGAGGGAAGGGGCGCCTACTGCGGCCGAGCCCGCCATCGGGGCTTCCACCGGCTGATCGTGGTGTGCTGGGGGGAGGCGGAGGTCCTCCGGGGCAGGCTGGGGCTCGGGATCCCGATCCCCTATTGTCTTCAGTGGTGGCTGCCCAGTTAGAGAGGGTCGCGGAGAGCGCGGGGGTTGCCGGCGCTACAGGATAGGGTTAGAAGGCGGGCCGCGGAATCCCAGTATCTCTCGCCTCCTCCCCGCTCCTCACGGCGCCCCTAGGCCGGGAAGATGTGGCGACCCTCGTCTCTCCCCTCAGGGAGGAGCCCCCAGGGACCTGCTCCTTTTCTCGTTCCTTCCCGGGCCCCTTTGTTCCTGGGAAACCTAATGCCCCCTCGGTGGCCGCCCCTGCCAGGTGCCTTTTCCAGCGCCAACTCTCCCTACAACTTTTAAGCCCATATAATGGGGTCAGGACGCGGCTGCCCGGGTTTGAATTGGGCGAACTCCCCCAGTTTGGGCTGAGGATGCTCGGGGGATGCGCTACTTTGGGGGAGAGGAAAACATGCTTCCCCTGGGACAGCATCCGCGCTGGTATCTGCGGGCTCCCTCCTGCGCAAACCCCTGTCCCTCCCCCGCCCCCCACGTCCTTTGCCTCTTCCTCTTCTCGCTGGTCGAGGCTTTGGATCTCATGGCTTTTTATTGGGGGCTTGACGCCAGGTGTAAGGTGATGCGCATTCGGGTGCCCCCTCATTTCTTCCATCTTGAAGGCTCGCCCCTTTTTTCCCCTGGCAATTTCTAATAACCACAGTTGTAGACACTCGCCCTCCTAGTCTCAAACGTGGGCTTTTTCTTTAGTCCCTGGGCTTTCCTGCCTCACTATCTCCCTCTGTTGTCTGAGTTAAGGGGCTTGTAGAGGATTCCCCCCACCCCATGACCACTGCCTCCCCCATCACCAAGATTCCTAAGATTTGGGGAACGCCAACAGGGATGGATGGGATGAAATAAAGGATTCCTGGCCACACTTGGGAGATGTCAGGGCTTTGCTTGTGGTTATTCCTAGGCACAAACTCTAGGTAGATTAGTCAGGAGCCAAAGGCTTATCATTGTGAAAATGCGTGTTGCGGAGATGAGGGAGCCCCTTTTGGGGGCTTGCTTAGCAGGCAGACTTTCCAAGCTCCAGGTACTTTAGAACGAAAGGTGGGGTGATTGGAAGTGGTTAAGAGCGACATAGAGAAACTCAATTTTGTTTCCTCCTTTTCCGAACCTTTTCGGCCTCTTGCTTATTCTTACGGATTTTTCTTTATACATTTGCTTTCCTTTTATTCCCTTACTGGCCCCTTTATTTCTCACTTAATTAGTTTTTTTTCTTTTCTAATATGTGAAAAGTGCTTCGTAACTGCAAATCACAGTACACATGAGAGTGTACTGAATTAAGTAGAATTAATTATCAACTGCTCCCCTGTGTGTAGTGCGTTGTGCTAAGGTGCCATGGGTGCCATGACTAAGACAAAGTCCTGCAGTGGCTCATCTTTTCCGTTTCTTCTCTTCATATTGGCTATTGAAATTATGCTTTCCTAGATTCCCACTAACCCCCACCCCCCTTTGGATTGTCAGAAACAAACATCTGTCTTCTCTGTTTCTCAGTCATGGAAGAAAGAGCCAGGCGGTGCGCAAGAAGCAAGAATGCTTAATTAAAAAACCCTTTCTTTGAATTTGCGTAAAAGGTTACTTTGGTTTGAGTCCGTTACTGAAATACTCAACAGAAAGCTTTCTTGGCTCCATGGGAGTCTGATTACCTTCACAAATTCCCATGATGCTTGTAGTGAGTGATGCATACTCCATCTTCTTCACCTCCACCCTCCCAGTATAATCTTGCAGTTTCTTCTTTCTCTATAGTTTAGGTCTACCGAAGCAAGTAGAACATAGGACACATATTCTGACACACATTATTAGATTTCCAGTACAGTAGTCCTTTAAAAATCTTTCCAGTCCTTTAAAAATCTCTCCAGCCTAAAATGCAGCATCTTTGAAGTTGAGCTAACATTGTTAGCTGTGATTTTAAATGATTGTTACGTGTAAGTTGAATAACTTATTTTCATACCTGTTGGTGATTAATTTTAGAGCTATTTGAAAAGATCAAGCAAGTAGCCAAGATAGAATTTGTATATTTTTATACACATTAGACTAGAAGAGAAAAACTGATGTCATTATCTGAATATTTCAAATCCCAAACTGCTTACTGCTGAAATTTCTATAATCTTCATATAAATTTAATTTAAGATAGTAACAGAAAACAAGATTTTAAAGAACATTTGGATGAAATGAACATTTCCTCAACTTGTAATTATACTGGTACCTTAATTAATTTTTCCTCCCTATTCCTTTCCCCAAGTAAACTTTACAAGTAAACACATTAAAAAAAAAAAAACTCACCCTGTCCTCAGATGCAGTAATGTTTAAAAGTCAACTAATTGAGGCTGTAGCTTTGGAATGGCCAAACTTCCTTTGGTGTTGTATAATGTATAGTGTTATAAAAGCAGTAACAAAGAATGAACAAGACTTTTGAACAACTGCAACATTGTGGGAGTTCTTCAAAGCGTGCTCCTAATGTGACAGTTTCATCATCCTTAACATTTAAAGTATATAGCATATGCTTTCAGCTAGTCACAATCATAAATAGTTATAACTCTGTTTAGTAAGGTACATGCCTTATGCTCTTTCTAGGGTGTTTTTCTCTTCACTAAACAGAAAAGGAGACATTAAGCATATAAAAATAGCATGGCCATATATTTGTGCTTCCAGACAATTTATATAAGTGGTATAGAAATTCAGCAGAGAAGGAGATGAAGGGAAAAAAAAGGGCTGATGAGATTATTAAGCTTTAACATATATTCAAAATTGTTTATGAAGGACCATTTATACATTGCAATTCATTTTGATCTTTTTTACTAAAATGTATTTGAGGGAGGCAAATTTAAATTTATATATTAATTATTAGTAAAGATATAAGGAAACACTTGCATTTTTTTCTCACCACCAACACCACTATTTGAAAAATCCAATACTCAATGGATTTTCTTCTAACAATAAAAAATTGATGTGACACAGTGTCAGTGTTAGTTCCAGTAAATATATGGACTCCTCATGAGTCAGTAAAATAAGCAGTTACATTCCAGATATCTTGATAGTACTTCAGGCTATTTGGAAATAATAGAACTTCAAAATTAATTTTATAAAAATATTTTTTGAGAAAATCAAATACACATCATTTAGCATTAAGAAACAGCCTTTTTTTCAGTAGGAAATTGCATTCAATCCTCTGGTAGTTTTGACAAAATTATAAAATGTAAACCTTTTTAGAGTAAAAGCAAAGCCTTTATTAGAGAAAGCTGTAGGTAGAAAAGTAGGCCAATAACAGTTTCTGATTTTTGCTCAGGGTATTACTCTAAAATACATCATATCTCAGCTCTTACCTATTCACTTGCAGGTCCTATAGAAATACTCCATAATCTACAGTTGTTTGAGTTTACTTTTTTGCCCACTGAAATACAGCAAAAATGTCTGAACACTTCAGGCCCCTATTATTAATTTCGGTATTGATTTTCCTTGTCCATGTCACACCCAGTAATTCCAGTTTTCTTCTCACAGTTTTTCCAACTTTGAAACTCCTCCAAAATATCCATATGACTAAAATAAAGTTATTTTCTGTGGCTAACTCCCTTCATGACATTTTTTCCAGTGATCTTTAATCCCTTCCCTGATCAAATAAAATGAATTATTGTTTTCAGAGTCACCAACAGGCCCTGCTTTGCTCGTCTTCTCTTATGGTCTCTGTGACTTAGCTCTTTCTACTCTTATAGTATGAGTCCTAAAATCTAAATTTTTAAGATAGTCTTTTCTCACACCATCCCACAATTAACTGCTCTGCTCTTTTCTGTTTACTATAAACCATTTTCTTTGAAAACCATTCATTGATTTCTACTTTCTGTCCTGATGACTCAGCCATCTTGAGGATAGAAAATGAAATACATTATTTTAGGTACAAAAAACAAAGACAGAGCCATCACTTTGCATACAACCCTACAAAAGAGGAAAATGCAGTGATGAAATAAGGTCTATTTATAATAAGAGTTAAATGCTACAGAGGAGAATGTATCTGATAAGATACAGAAATTTTGACAGGCACAGTGCTCTCTAATAGTTTTACCCCCTTCCTAGGACCTAGAGCTGAGGTTGAAATTTATTTTATTAAGATGAAGGAAAATGTCAAATTTTTGAGTTAAACTGTCTTAGGAAAAATTTTCTGGCAGAAACTTGAGAAGTATGCATTGTAAAAAATATGTTAAACTTATATGATCAAACTAGTCCTATCATTTTTGAAAAATTATTTGCTTTCCTCAATTGCAGTATGACTAGATAGTCACCAACAATCACCTACTCTCGATATGACTTTTTTTGAAACTCAATACTTGTCATTTCACACAAAGAAGAAATTTACTGTTTATGTAGAGTTTACAGGAAAATATCATTTTATTTATACTGTCATTAACATTTACTCCTTAAGGTAACACTCATGATTTAGTACAGATTAGGAAAAAAGAGTCTATTTATGTAGATACATTCTGGTGCTTAGAGATTGTTTACTCCATACCTCTACATGGAAGGGGCTTTAATGGATTGTTTTAAATAAATTATTCTCTGCTTTGGGGAAATTAGTCTCTGTAAGGGATAGCAGTGACGTTGAGAAACCTAAGCCAAAACAGAGACAGGTGCCAACTAGAACATTTGCTAAATTTAAAAAATGTTTGCATTATGTGTGCAAGCACCAGTGGAAAGACGAGATGATGCTTTTAATCAGTCAGGAAGGAATCCATGGAGAAGGTGGGGTTTTAGCAACTTGTTATACAATTTATTTAACTAAGGCATATTCTAAGATGGATGTAGTCTAAATGTAAAGGCACA